ATCATAAAATGGGCAAAGGACTTGAATAGACACTTCACCATAGAGGATGTTCAAATCGCCAAACACGTGAAAAGATGCTTAGTGTCATTAGCCATCAGAGATGCAAATCAAAACCACAATGAGATATCATTTCACTCCCATTACGATGGCTAAGATTTAAAAAAAAAAAAAAGAAAATACCAAATATTGGTGAGGATGTGGGAAACCCTTATCCATTGCTGGTGGGAATGCAAAATGGTACAGTCTTTGTGGAAAACAATGTGGTGGTTCCTCAAAACAACTAAAAATAGAACTACCATATGACCCAGCAATTCCACTCCTAGGTACATACCCAAAAGACTTTAAAGCAGAGACTCAAACAGAGACTTGTACATCGATGTTCACTCCAGCACTATTCACAATAGTCAAAAAGTGGAAACAACCTAAACACCCATCAGCAGATGAATGGATAAACAAAATGTGGTACATGTATACAATGGAATACTCAGCCAGTAGGAGAAATGAAGTCTTGATAACATGCTACAGTATGCATGGAGATGGAAGACATTATGCTGAGCAAAATAAGTCAATCACAAAAGGACAAATATTGTATGACTTCACTTATAAAAAAGACAAGAAAAGGCAAATGTACAGAGACCAAAGTTTATTAGTGGTTACCAGGAGTGGGAGAGAGGGGAAAAAGGGGGGTTAATAGTGATGGAAAATCACATTGATTAAGGGTAGGGTTGCATAGCTGATTATTGTTAATTGCTGTCAATAAGTTTTACACCTATAAAAAGTAGAATTGGCAAAAGTTGTGTGATATATTTACTACAATGACCAAAAAAAAAAAAAGAAAAAGAAAAGTAGCTGCTCAGGCTGCTTATGTACAAGCAAATACCTCATGGGATTTGGTTCCTTGGTTTGGAGGTTTAGGGTCATGGTTTCATGGAATATCCTAGTTAACTGGCCTAATAACGTGTTTAGCGCTTCTGTTCTACCTCCTAGTTCTTTGCATAGTGCCTGGGGTCTTAAAAGCTTCCAAGAGGCCATCTAAGGCACAACAATTGGTCTCTATTCACCTGGACCTACAGAGGAAGAAGGAGTGTCAGGAGTAGGAGGAGGAAATGGAATGTGTGGCTAATTGCCTTCACAAACAACTGCCTCC